TCAGCTATTAAAGCCAAACCATGTAGTTTAGTTAAAAGTCTGGGCAGGAAATAACAAAATGAAATTTATCCTAGGGGAGACGCGTGGTGCATGTAGGGGTGGGAAGAGAATGCAAATATACTATTTATAGGACTAGGGGAAAACAAATTTGGACTTGAAGCGTAAATGCGAAGGAGTTATCATGGGAAAACCAGACTTGGCGATCTAAGATACTCAGATCTGTGCTGTCAGCCTACTTTTCCATTTTTGAGAATTATGTTTTTGTTATATCCTAGTGAAGAAGAAAAGTTTGACACTGAAATTTGTGCTGCATAGAGTACTGTCCAGCAGTATCCTTTTAGGAGTTTATGCTATGGATGAGACACGTCAAGTGAAAATATTTGAACCCGTATTTTTTTAAGCAGTATGAAAATAGTTGAAGACAGCGCCTGGTCCAGGGAGTTTATATGGTACAAGCAGGTAGAGCCACATGCAGGATGGAAGAGGAGACAGATTATTTAATTTGCTCACGGTCAGACAGCAGGTCAGTGGCAGAGCTAGGAGTAGAGTCCAGCTCCCTGGAGCTGAGGTCCATTCTCTTAACTCATTAAGTGTGGTGCCTGGTGCCTCTGGTGTTACACTGAAATTGGTGAGGAGAACTTTTGTGCGGAATGCAAGAATAGTGACTGTACCTCATAAATATCCTTCCTCAAAGCAGCATGCTGTCCTTGTGATACTGCAGATTGTAATAGGATAATGTGGGACCATACATTTTTTGTATAATTTCTTTTACTTAATTTGTGATTTTTAGTTCATAAATAGATGCTAAGTACTTCTTGCCTTTCACCGTGGTTTTTGGAACAGATTCCCACACCTTTTCTTGCCACTGTCAGTGCTTGCAGTTCCCTGCTTTATACTGGGTCATGTGCTACTTTTAAGGCATTTGCATATAATTAGTGTTACATATAACTAAGAGTGGAGCTCAGCAACCTTGAGGTATGCACAGGAATGGGGAAGGGGTGAGGTGACCTGGGGGAAGAAGCAGTAACATACCACAGTACCCTGGGAATTCTACATACCGTGGCTTACAAATGCACAGCTGACTTGTTTGCCTTTGGTTGGATTTTGTGGTTGCGGTTTGTATATCAAAGTGCATATCGTCATTGAACCTTGCTTGGAATGGCCTCCAGAAAAAGAGAAGGCTTGGATGATTTCTGTCTTCCTTCCCCTTTCCATGCCATATCTATTGCACAGCCAGGAAGGTGCACTATTTTTGATTTATGTAGGCTGACTTTTGGCATATTGGGGGCTATTGAGTAGTCCTCAAACTTCCTGCAACCTCCTCTTTCTGCTTCTTATTAGGGGACATTCCCCCTCTATTCATACCAGGTATTTGTTGCTCCTATTGCCTCCATTCCCACTCTGTGCTCTTGGTTAACCTTACTTCTAGCCCATGGGTTGCCAAGATCCCCTCTTCTTCGAGAAAGGCAAAATGTGCTCTGCTCTCCTCACTTTTCCTGGCAGGGCTTTCACTATCTTGTTCCTGTCTTTACCCAGCGAAGTCAGCTCTTTCTCATTCAAATCTTTTCCTCCCTAATGTCTTTTGAGGGAAGAAGCCAGGATGCAAACAAGATACATTTGGAGGCCAGAAGAACAGAACCAGGTATCTTGAGTGGAATGAAACCCTAATGATGAAAATGTAGGTCTTTCCTGTTAAAAAAGGAGGCTTAGGGCAGATAGGCAAAAGTCAAGAGCCATGATAGCATTCAATCTAAACTGTGGAACAGTTGCTTTAACCGTAGGAGACAGTATTTCCAGCTCCGCCCCCTAATATGGGAGTTACCCCCCGAGCTGCGCACAGACTTAATTGTAATGGCTAGGTAGATCTGCAGAGATGCACTGCATCTAATGCGGACCAGCTGGCTGTACTGTGTCAGGATGTATATGATACAAAGCCAAGCCATGAGGTGGGGAAAAATTACAACAAGAAGAAGAAAAAATTTAAACCAAGCACTTAGTAGGAAAATACTTGGAACAGCATCTCCAAGCTCATTTCTGACCTGACTGTGAACGGGAGAGCTTGCTGGATAGGCTGTTATGGGAAAGTATGTATGACAGTTGGAAAGCAGAAGGTCATGACCAAGCCAGCCAATGACATCATAGGTGCCCCTTGCCTGTGCTGAGTTAACCCTGAAGGAACAGAGCACGCATACTCCTGAGACATCTTAATTTAGGGGTGTGTACAACTGAAGGTGCAACTGTGTAGGAGACTACAGCTGACAGCAAGTTTAAGAGTACCGGTACAGGCAGAGCAAGCTGCAGCAGTGTTTAAAAGTCACGTAGTCACACTGTCATACGGCACTATGCTGAGGGAGCGAGCTGACTTGTCTCTAATTGGCGCAGAGTACAGGAACATTGCTGTCGGTGGTGCCCAGGCCTCTGCTGAGCCCATTGCCAGCCCCTTTGGAGCCCAGCCGGCTTCAGCAGAACCGTGGCTGCCTGCCGGGGCCTGCCCTGCCCTGCTCTGCGGCATTGGGTCTGACTAGAGAAAGCAGACAAGGGGTGGAAAAAAGGAAGTGCTATCATCCCCTTTTTATAAAAAGAGGTACTGAGACTGAGAACGATTGAATGGGATTTCCAAGGTAATTTCTTTTAGGTCTTACGCTCCAAAGCCATGTTAGGAAGTTATGGTTAAAAGGTTCCTCTGGTTTCAGCTGGGTGGTCAGAGTGTAAATGCAAAGGGATGGCTGAGTCTTCTAGGACATGGCAGTCCTATTGCACAACTGCCTCTCCTAAGACTGGCACTGCTTTGCATTTCTGTATTCATTGCATGAAGAGTTTGAATCACTTTTGTTTGTATTAACCCACTTTTTGATAAATCTCAAACTTCATGACACTGTTGTCTGAATTCAGAAGCATGTGGGCAGAGACAAACTTGTTATACCTGATAGTTGTGAGGAATCAGATTGCTCATAAAACAAACCCCTCAGCTAACTTTACAGGAAAGCACAAGCTAGAAATACCTTATCAACAGCTGCTGGCTTTCTTCATTACACAGAACTGGTGGTTCTGCTGCTAGAATGCAACCAACCTCCGAGAAACATCCAGTGTGGCGTTTTGTTTGGGGGCTGCTGCTGCCGCTTGCCTTCCACTGGCTTCAGCTGCAGCTATAGTGCAAGTGCTTCTAGAAGCTATATGCTTCTTCCATTCACATGGAAATAGCTTAGTTTTGAAGTTGCAGCCACAAACATCCAGCTGGATGTGCTGGTCTCCAACACTGAGGTGGGGTCACTTCAGTCAAATGTTGCTGCAATCTGTTGCCATCCCAAGGATGGCTTTTCCTACTCTTGACTACCAGTCTTTAGCCATATGCAAAAACTGAGGCCCGCAATGGCTTGAGTCCCAAGAAATTGTGACTGTAGGTAGAACTGTGGTCTCATCAGCCATTTTAAAAGAACAGTATTAGCAATGTAATAACTTAGCAGAGTGTAGTTCCCCTGCGCAAGTACAGGTCCTCCTGCTCAGTGCTTGTTTATGGTTAACTTTGTTTCTGTGCATGTTCTGTTAGTATCCCCTGCAGAGCCTTGCTTATTTAACACAGTTGTGTGTAAGAGCATCTGGATCAACCTCATGATTATACATTTGCAGGACTGGGTCACAGTAAGCAAGATGAGAGGGAGAAAGAATTTCCCCCTTTCAATAAAACAAGTGATTCCCATATATTGCCAGGGAAGAATTTGCATTTGTTCTACAACAGTTACTATGAAGTAGTAGCTCTCCCAAACTGATGAGCAGGCCAAAAGCATTATGCTCCATATGGGGCTTGTTCAGTTGAGATCAAACGCAGTATCTATTTTCCCTGTAATATCTGCCATATCCTTTATCTGGGGAAGGAGGAGATGATCTAATTCTCCTTCCCATGTATAACTGAGATTGTGCATACAAGTCATGTATAGCATCATTCAGATACATAGATGAAAAATATTTTGAGCAGAAACTTAAGAGGAGAGATATTATAGCAGTCAAAGAGTCCATGTTTGTTTTTTCATTTTCATTTGTAGTCTGATCTTGTCCCAAATGCTAAAATTTGTTGACTAAGAACATGTTTTAGTTTGTAAATCACGGATCAGCTAACTTGCTTTGTGGCATTGTTTTGTTAGGAAGGTTTTGAAGCTTAAGTCTGCCCCATGGGAATATGTGACATAGTGAGAAATCTTTTGAGAATATTTTCTTTTTGATAAGCAAACATAAGGCACAAATAATATTCCTTCTTGCCGTTTTATTTTTCTGTGTCTGAAGTGAAGGTTTCTGTGTAGTTCATTTGGCATGAGATGGTCAGGTGATAAAAGCTTCTCTTTAGACGAGAACAGAAGACATACAACGATCATCTAGTCCAACTGCCTGAATTTTTGTTCTTTTAAGATCATTGGTTTTAATGTTGATTTTGTAATAGAAATGTCCATCAGCTAACGGGCCTCAGAGTCTTTGGGTATTTTGGCTATTCCTGCCTCACTGATCATCTAGCCCAAATGAGTCCTGATGTAAGAGAGTATAATAAATATATGGGAGCAATGGATGAGAGGGCAGATAGTAGGTTAGACTAGCAATACCCGCAGCATCCAGAATGAAGTTGCATGTGTATGTGCAGTGCCTTTAAACTGCATGTAATTAATTATTTCAAATGGTTTGGACGCCCTTTTATATTTTGACATGACACCCAGCCTCTGTACGGAACTTTGGTTGATACGAGCTTAGAGAAGAGTCCTGCAGGGATGGGCCCTGCAAGGTCCTGCATTCTGCTGAAATGTTGAAGAATAAAGATGCTCGGTGTGAGGGAAGTGCTTCCCTGTATGAATTTCCCCGAGTGCTTGTAAGAGTATGTTATTTTTATATGATGAAAGAGCCCCACTCACAAACCAGCATCCCCTTTGGCTAGTACTATACAAACATTGCCCAGGAAGACGACAACATATCCCAAGGAACTTAACTGTTTACTTTCTGGATCCCAACAGGTGAAACTGATTGACTACATCCACAGACAACGGCAGTGTAAGCTGAGTGTGCCCCTGAATGACAGGACAGCAGAGCTCAACAGCTACCCAAGATTCAATGACTGGTTAGACATTGTCAATGTGAGGAAAGAAGTTGTACAGGTAAGGGGAAGACAACCCTCAGCACAGAACCTTCCCGCCCTTTCGAGACATTCCCAGCTGCCTGCTGGGTTTAAGTTTCATTTCCTGAACTTACTTTCAGGCAAGGTGGGAGTATGTGAGTACACAGAAGGACCTTTGGAGGAAAGGGTGCTTCCTATCTCCCAGAAGCAGTGATCACCCAATGGGAGTGCTGAAATACTCCCTTCCCTTTCTCCCCCTCCCTTCTCATAGTAGCATTTGAAGCAACGCCTCACACCTATTGCTTAGTATGAGACAAAGGTCCTGCATTACCAGGACCTCCTTTTCTTCTGCCTGCTAGGGCCGAGAATGACACCATAAATTAATGGTACAAATATTCTCCATCCAGTACTAGCCAAAAAAGGACTAAGAGTTACCATTTTGTGCACTGACGTATCCAACAAATGGGCAAAAATGTTGAGTTGTGACAGCCTGGAGTTTTCTTATCTCTAAAAGCATACATGCCACAATTATAACTTAGTGAAGATCCAAAAATAGCCAATAGCACTGTGTCCCTCTAAACTTAGACTAGCAAAAGGGGTCAGAGTTTACAAGATTGTCCCAGACTGATGGTTTTGAAACTGTGTAGCCTCACACAGCACTCGGACTACAAAATCAAGTGGACTGCAACCCAGTAGAGAGCAGGTGGATTTTGACCTGGATTTGGACTGGATAAGAGTCTTTGTTCAGAAACAAGAGAGGGTTTTTCATTTTTATACACACACACACCCCCCCCACCATGAGTAAGGTCTCTCGTTCAAACTGCTACCAAAGAGCATTGCATCAGTGTAAAAGAATGGAATAAATAACTTTCCTGTGGTGGTCTGTGTGGTGGCCGGCATCAGCTGTTCATGCTTGCAGACCATGGCTCCTTCTGATCTTTACAGTTTAATTCTTAACATGCAAATCACTAGAAGCCTCTTTACTGCACAGAATAATCTGACACTTCTGCTGGAATCAGAAATGACCGGATAAGCCAAGGCCCCCAGCTCCTGTCTCTGACTTTTTTTTTTTTTTTTTTGGCACTTTTTTTTTTTTCGAAGAGGAGCCTGAAATCCTGGCCGCGTTTAGGTCATTACTGGGAACTCCAGGACTGCACGGCACTGACATCAGATTGTTCCCTTGGGTCTGGACTGTGCATGGCTTCCCTATGCTGTTCTGTACCGGGGACAGTTCGGTTCAGTGTAACATTAACAGCAATATAAGTAGAGCTCAGTCCACTGATGGCTAAACAAAGCAGAAAAGGCTTTTTCCATATTTTTCCCATTTTTTGGCTCTGCAGGCCAGATCACAGTGTTCTCATTCAGTTTCCTTTGATCCTTACACAAGCAAAAATTTTCTTTGACTTCAGCAGGGATCTGCCTGAGTGAAAAAGTCAGCAAATTTTCATGGAAGTTATTCCAGCTTGGTCCTGATGTAACTGAGCAGACCCTGGTAAAATAGGATGAGTTCAGGATGGAGTTGTTCCTTTTATTTACTACTGTTTATTTTGAATGTCATGCTGCATGTTGCCTTCCAGCCCAGAAAGGTTTTGGGTAGCGCAGCTAAAGGTGCAGCAGTGACAATGAGAGAACAGAAAAGCAGCCTGTTGCTGTGGCCAGACTGCCAGGCTCACAACTATTGTTGGTTTCTAAGGTTACTGGAATTGCCTGAGCCTAAAAGAATGTCTTTGTAGCTCTTTTTTAAATCCTTTGTGATGCCTGCAGAACTGGGGGAAGGGAAGAGGTAAAGAGGAGGGGTGGAGGAAGGGGGAGGGAGGTGGACAGTTCAAATCTGTCACATCCTGCTAATTCAGGGAGCAAACAGTGTTGAGACTGCCCTTCCGTTTGTGTAGTCACTAAAAAGGGTGAACAAATTCGGTTTTGGTCTAAGGCAGGAAGAGAATATATTCCAACTGTTTATTATTTTTATTCATGCTGTCTTGCTACCTCTCCCAAGCAGTGACCAGTGTAATGAACTATGTTCCCTCTGTTCTCTGGGACAGAAATATAAGAGGTGTACAAAGCATTTAAACTCCTCTGTGATTCCAAATGTATGGTTATTTTTTAAAAGTTCTGCATCCATTTCATGCAGCTGCAGACAGCTTCTTTAGCATTTATATTAGCTGGACAAGAGAACTGCAACACCCATTTGTCATTAAAATTATTTTTGAGTAGGCATGCTGAACAGGCTGTAATCTGGGGGAAATGGAAATAGCTGGGCTAACAAACCAATTGCTCTGTTTTGCAGTGGTTTGTGGGGTTTTTTTTCACTGCTTAGAAAATAGCAATGCAGCCACTGTTGGTGTTGGTGGCATGGACATCAGCAGACAGTGCAGGGGAGATGTTTGTCTGTGATGAGTTGTCTTTCAGAAATGTTACAGGTATATGGGATCATTCCTGCTGTTGCTTAGATTTTATACAGCATGTGAACCACAATTCAGCTGAATGCTTTCAAAATGGAAATCACTGACAGAAGGAGCTTTAATAGGTTAGTTATTAAGAAATACATAATGGTTTCCCTTAGCTTTATGCACACTGCCTGTGACATGACTGGGGAGAGAGGTGGTTAGGGAGCCTTTAAAGTAGTGGCTGAGTAGGTCAGACAGTGAAAACGGGGACACTTGAGTCCCATACCTGGTTCTGTGGCTGGTGTACGAGATACACTGGGGAATGACTTCCCATCTCTAAGATACTGTTAGCTCACTGTAAAACTGAAATAGTCATACTGGGTTTCCTTAATGCTTCCAACAAGTGCTGCAGAGAGAAAGAAAACCCTACAAACATTGTGACAGTGTATTCATGTTAGGCACATAGCCCTCTCTTCTTGAGACTTTTAGGCTCTGAAACTAGTTGGAGAGGTTGCCAAGTACCTGTAGAGTCTCGGAGAACAACTGCAACACAACCCTTCCCTGTCCACCTCTGAGATCTAAATAGAAACAGCAGGTACAATGCAGGAGGTGCGTGCAGGTGAAGGGCTCTCCTGTGGCCCACTGCTTCATGTTTTTTTGCTTTTTTAAATGGTTCTGATTCCCTTTGCATTTCTAGTGTTGCTGGAGGGAGTATTTCAAGATTGTGCTAATCTGTGACATAACACCTTTGAAAAACAGCCTAATTGCAAGCAGTTTTTTAGCTCAGCCGTTAGAGAAACAATGCTCTTTTTCTCTCTCTCTCTTCTCCTCCCCTCTCTCCCCCCCCAGCCCTCTCCCAAATAAAGCTGCCATGCAGGGAAGCACAGAAGCTCCCAGGCTCTCCTGTCAGAAATAGAGCACCAGCTCTAATTTAGAATATCTGCTGACTCCTCTAGTCCAGAGTGAAGACTATTTTTGCTCAGTGACTTGCTCTAGACATTGTGAAGCTTGAAAGCACTTGCTGTAATAATTGCTGTCTTGTTGTCAGGCTCCTTTCTTGCTTTGAAAACCTATATTTAAAACAAGAATAATGACTGCTTGTAAAATCCTTTAGTTCTGAAAGAGATTATAGTAATAACAATGCACTGTTTATGGCGTTGGGCAACAGCTAAAACTCCTGTGAGCATGGATAACAGTCAGCCGGTCGTGCTGCGTGGAGTGAAAGGGCTGTTCTGTGTGGACCTAGCAGACTTGGAGGTAGGTAGTGAATACAAGCTTCGAGTTCGTGATCCTGTTTGCTCTCTGTGAATACACAATTCTGAGGGGTAAGGAAACTTTGAACCCCTATCCCAACGAGTGCTATTTCTGTTTCTTTGTTATTGTTCCTCTAATCAGTTGCCAGACAGATTTTTATCACAGAAAACGGTGGCTAGTGTGGAGCAGGCTCTGCTTTGGAGCTGGGCTAGTATTGTTCTGTAACTTTCTTTTTAAGTATTTTTCTAGGAAATGCTGGAGTCCTTGTTTTTGGCTAGGAGTCCTAGAGATTGATTAGCACTGTGTACATGTAGTTTAATATCGTAAATGGTGCATAAGTGGTTAAATATGGTGGACTGAAACTGGGAAAAGAGATACTTGAACTGAGAACTAGAAAAGGCAGAACAAGGAACCATACAGACATAAGATACATTTAAGCTATGTAGTGGTCTCCAGTGGGTAAAAGTTGCTCTGAAAATGGACCTAGAAAAATATACTGATCTGGATTATCCTGCTCCCCTTGAGAGTTGGAGTCAAGAATTGAGGGGGGGAGTGGGAGGGAAGGAGGATGTGAAAAGAGTGCTGTCTCCACTATTAGGTTGATGGAAGAGCTACTTACTAGGTTCTGGGCTTGGGGCATGTCTACCAAAAAAAAGAGATTAAAAAAATCTCTACTGGCTTATTTTCTTTAGCACAGAAAAAAATCCTCTCTGTCTTTACCGTTATTCTTCCCAGAAATGTCACTATTATATTTGTTCCCACATATAACTTGTCACCATCTTAAAAAGTAACTTAAGAACATAGTCATCTCCTTATCATCTTCTGAAACATGTCTGAACCAGCCCTGCTCACCATGTAGCAGGGGTTCTAGTCAATCAAGTTTGGAAAGCTGTTTTTAGAGTAGATAACTGTCATGCATGGGGAGGGGCAAATCCTGCCCTGATGATTGCTGTCTGTAAGCAGAACTTTGCCACCAGGGAGACTATGTGGGAGCAGATGAAACAGTGCTGTGGTTGGGTCTGGTTTACGGCCGCTGCATTTGCGGAATGTATTTGACTCCCAATGTATATATTTTTTCGTAATACCTCCTTTTTGCTTATGAAACTTGTCTCGTTCCCCATTTAGCATTTATGCCAAAGACCTACTTTCTTGTAAGTAGCCGAGAGTGGTTCCTGAGCAAGCCAGGGGCAGCGCTTGGCACACTGGGGAACAGAGCAGGAAAGGCTCATGTCTTGGGTAGGAATTGTCTGTTAAGAGTCTCCTGCTGCCCCTGTGAAAATCTATAGAGGATGAGGCATTGGCATAGGGTTGATACTTATGAGACCATGGCAGATGGTTATGCTTGCTTGGACTGATCTAGCTTGTAGCACATCATGCTGATCAATTGTTGGAGGAGAAG